AAAGTTACCAGTCATTGCTTGACTTCCATCACGCAAAACAATAAGACTTGTATTTGGTTTGGTGGCAACTTGATTGTCAACGTATTTTTCATTCGCTGCATTATCCTCAGCTATTGGTGTACCAAGATTAATGATCTGTCTGTCTCTATTTGGAAGATGACCGTTGAAAGATATAGTGCCATCGATTGTATTATCATTTCGCTTGTTGAAGTAATCGTTTAAATAGCTTGTCAGCCTTTTTCCTCAACTCTGTGGTAAAAGTGGATGTATCAACTTTGCTTGATAATTCAGAATTGAGTTTTTGTAGATTTACCACATCTTTGTTGTTTGTTGGATCAGCTACATTGATAGTTTTGTTGTCTTGCATGTTGAGCGCACCTGTCATTGGTCGTCGCCCATCTGTATGAACGTGACTGTCAGTGTAAGCTTTTGTACAAGAATCCTGTGGATCAGTCGGTTCTTTCAAATTCTTTAGTTGTTTATTTTCAATGTCGAAATTTCCATCAAAAGTTTTTTTGAATCCTTCACCTGGTGGACCCGGCGGACCTGGTGCACCTGACGATGTAGTTCCCGTTTTGTATTTATTATGGTAACCATCAGAAAAGCCCATTTTACTCGTGTTTTTTATTACGTTTTTTTGAAATAATTGATTATGAATCGTTCATTACATTTCGTATCAGTATGTGAGAAAGGTTTCACCACATGGTGATATGATTTTCCCTTGTATGATTCATTCACAAAATACAGGCAATAATATCCACATAACACACTCATCAGATCTTGATATTGTGTGCTGTTGTATCGAATGTTCACTTCCAAACAATATGACAAATAATACAGTTCTTGTGGAGCATTTAACCCAAAACTGTCAAAATATTCAATGATTTTTGGTTTAATGTTTATTACAACCCAGTGCGAACCAGATTGGTTTGAGTCATTTAAATTAGCGATGTAATAACTACCTTCAGTGCACGCTTGTATTTGGTCTCTTGAGATGACACCTTTGAATTGTGGTATCTTTAGGTAATTGATCCACTTCAAAAGGTCACAATTTGAAATCGGTTTAATCTCAAACTGTGGTTTGTTTACAAGTGGTATTTCGTTGAATGAGGAGTTTTTTCCGAGCAACAATCCTTTGCCCGTCTTTTTTTTTTTTGTTTTTTCTTTTTGTACCCATACCAACCGTTGGTGCTTGTTGAGCTTGAGGTGGATAATAAGGTATATATCCATACGGTCTATTTTGCATACCAGCGCCACCTTTACCACTAGCCATTCTGTTTCGAAGACCTTTGCCGGTCAAAGCGTTCAAAAGTAGTGGAACACCGATAGAAGCCAATAAAGTTCCGAGAAAACCACTACGTTGCTTCACTGTCGGTTTTATCATTAACTCTCCCCCAGATTGAAGAGCATTCAATATGTCTTTTTTCTGTTTAACTGTCAATAAATGTTTATGATCAATAAGTTGTTGAATTTTAGAATTTGGAATGAGGAAACCTCCTACCTGTCCAGAGCCGAGAATTTTATCCATTGCAAAATTTCCCAAACTTGTTGTAGCACCTGTTGCTAGTGCAGGTATAGCTCTTGTAACCAAATTCATTGCTTTTGGTAATAGTTTTGCACCCATAGTGACAAGTGATGAAAATTAACAAACTCCCACCTTCTTGAACAACTTTACCGGTCTGCGTTTTACTGATTTTGATGTCAACGCCTTTTTTCAACTTCAAGCTTTGCTGGATCTTATTAATCTGTGTTTTGGTCAACATCAATTGATCGGGACCGTCCAGTTTGTTATGTGAGAGGCGAATAGTCAAAGTTGATCTCTTCTCGAGAGCTTTCGCTAATTTCAGTTTTTGATTTTCAGCTAATTTCACACCATATGGATGATATGTTGTCATTGTGTTTTATTATATATGAATCATATATAATAAATTTTTTTTGGTCAAAGGTGAAAGTTGTTTTTTTATGTTCTTATGACAGCCTTTCCTTTTCCCACATCAACACTTATCTCTTCATCGTTGAGTATCAGTGCATATACAGAGCATTAGCCGCACCACTAAGATCATAAGATAATTCTAGACTCGTTGAGTTATTCTTGAGTGAATCTGCCTGTTTTGTCAAATCAAAATACAGAATACCGAATACCGTACAGATCTTTGAATGACTTAAGATCTATAGTTGGGCCAGACAGTTGATCATTGAAACCCTTGTTGTATTCTGTCAACATCCTCCATACTGTTGACATTTCATTAGTTGGGTCGATTGCATTTTGTGGGTAATACGTGCCAGTGCCCAGCTTCAATCGTGCACTTGTAATCGTTCTTGCGGCTGCGCCTGGAATGTTGTAAGTATCAAAAACAAACATATTTTGTTCCGGGTAATTCATCTTTGCATTATTAAGAACCCAGACAAAGACATGCCTTGGTTTTCTGATACTTTTTGTAATATTGAAAGTGTGTTTTCGCAGTTGAGTTGTTGTGGTTACAATACTCTCATTAAGGTAAGACCATGTATGATTTTTGAGGTACTTTTCAAGCCACATTTGTCGTCCTTCAGGATTGAATTCCATTTTTGGAACCCACAAAACAAATTTTTCGATAGTATGTCTACCAGCAGCAGCTTCTCCTGCACTAAACAGAACATTATTATCACTTTCTAATTGTATTTGAAAATCTACTTTCCCATTTGGTGCGATTTGACTTTTGAATGACTGAAAAAGCCGAAACGACTCAATGGAAGAATGATATTATTTGTTGCACCACCAGCAAGAAGTGCCTTCCTTTGTGTAAACCCATCATTATAATTAGCGTTATCTGCTCGTGCAATATTCTGTGCGTTTCCATCAAGTTGAAGTGTAACATATTTTTGAATAACTGCTCCAGTAGCTGTATTGGGGTAATGAAACATTGACGGTCCTACTTCTTTGCTATAAACCTCTGAAAAATCAATGAGATTTTTGGCATTGATAGCATGATTAGTGCCTTGTGAGTCAAGGACTTTAACACCATCAAAGTTAACTTTCATCTGGTCTATTATTCCAAACCCACCGTTTATAATTGCACAAGCATCAGCTGCACCGTAAGTTGTATTGTCCATTTTCGTAATTTTCAAGTCGATCTCAAAATAAGCATTATACCAATCTATTGGTACCTCCTCACTAGTGTTATCAATGCTGAATTGATAGCCGCTTTTGGTTTGATAAGCATTATTTCCAGGGATAATTATCGGAGTTTTCAAATTCACTTGTTGATAATCGTATTTTTGGAGAAAATTTCTAAACGATGACATTTTGTTATTCTTCAATTTTTTTTTTATTTTTTTATAAAGTTAACAATTCGTCAAACTGTTTAGATATAGAGTTTTTTGGTTTTGACTTTGTAGTCTTTGACTGTTTTTAGGTTGATTTTGTGTGCTCTTCGAGTTCATTGACATCACTATTTTAGCGATTTCATCCCCTTTATTTTCATAAGTTTCATTAACTTTGTTGGTGCAGAATTTGTCATAGATTTTTTTCTCCAATTACTTGTCCTGTTTTCTTACTAACCTCTTCAGCAGCTTTTTAAAAAGCTTTTTCAGCCGCTTTTTTTGCTAATTTCTTCGCTGTTTTACCTGTTACTTTCGTTACTATTTTTTTCGCAATATCAAATATACCTGCACCTTCATAGGTGCCATAATAGATACTTTCACCATTTTCATCTCTTTCACGTCTTTGATCTGGCATTTTTTAATATACTCGATAAAAAAATTATTCATTGTTCTATCACTCGTTTCAAGTGATAAGAGAAACAATTTTTTAATGTTGCCAAAGACTTTATTCCTCTACTACTCGAACTGATTTCACTGATTTCTTCTGTTAAAATTAATGTCATTAACACTGGAATATTGATCATATCCAAAGCTCTTCCCAACCCATCAGAAAAATAAATTCTTAAATCTTTTATAGTGCTCGTATTGATTTTATTGAAGATGGCTCTCTGGGGTACAATATGAAATGGATATGACAATGGTAGATTGTCCACACTAAATCGGTATAATACATCTGATGCAACTCCTGAAACAACGCTTTCAGATATACTATCAGTGTGTATGAGTACATTGTCTACAGATTTTGTTATATTTGGTAAGTTCTGTCGCGGAATTTTGTTCCGCTCGCTGGTTCTACCGATTACCGCATGGTGAGGTAAATGATGGACCTTGTCGCTTGTTTCGTCTAATTCTGCCACCTTCTCGATTACTCCTGCTGCGAGTTGTTCCTTAATGATCGAGTCGTATTCGGTCAAAATATCTGGCTCTCTTTTCAGTCTTTTAAGCTGACCTTTCATGCGTGACAAGCTTTTATCGTAATTGTTTGGGAGGGGGTCATGACCCTGTTTCCACGGCAACTTAACCGAATACCTCCCCCCTACAAACTGTATTTCATTCTCAAACCACTCGTGCACTTCGTCGTCTTGACTCTTAATTCCCAGACTTTTTAAATCCCACAATGTACTAATCTAAAGGTCTAAGCTGGCCTTGTCTAAGTCTACACTGTCTTGTCCTACAAAATTCACTGACACATCTTGCGAACTGGGCTCAAGAAAATCTCGCTTTTTAGGGGACCCGATAACACCCAACCAAGCTCAGTCTCCACTGCAACAGGTTCTTCCGCTTCCCCCCGTACAGTCCGACCCCTTTGAAATTCCCACAAGTAGTCCGCACCAACCAACAAATTGATTTCGAGTTGATCCCTCGACTGGCATACCTCAGAAAACCAAAGGTCACGCAAGTGCGGGAAGTCGTTTTTTATGACCTCCACATGCTCATTGCTTATGTGCGAGATGATCGGCACAACATAAGCCTCGAGCACCTGAACCCTGCCGCCGTTGAGAGGTTTTATATCAAAACGTACGACTTCTCGCAGACCAGCCTCTTTGCCTTTCTGACCGAACGTGCTTATTGTTACCCACTCTTTTCTAACAACTGGCAGATCATATTTACTTGCCGCTCTTGCGGTCACAAACGATCTATGACTGCCCGAATCGAACAAGACTCGCTAATGATCCCCCGCTAATGATCGCTTGAGCTGTTTGAAGTGCGATTCTACATTCGGTGCCAACGAGCTGGGTATTAACCGAGTTTTCTGCTAGACGGGTGCTATTTTCCCCAGAAGACTGCCCTAGTTTGGTTTCGCATAAACAAGTATTGTGTGACCCCTTACAGTGCTTACATTGTACAGTTTTTTCACAGTCTCTGGCTCTATGGCCCTTATCATTACAATTAAAACATCTACCAAATCTAATAAGTAGTTTCTTACGTTCGCCAATGTCGTTCACTTTCGTGCAGTTTTCTGGCGCTTGATTTCCTAGGCAGAAGGCGCATCCCTTGACCTCTCCTTTCCTTCCAAAAAGCGCATTTGCTGTCGGGATAACTGACACCTTTCTGCGGTCACTGAATCCACGTTGGTTCAAGCAATGATCCTCTCGCAGTTCAACCTCAGTGAGTAGGGCCGCCAACAATTCCTGTACACTCCACTCCAAGTAATTCGTTCCTCTAGTGATCGTCAAACGAATTGATGCGGGGATCCTTTCCAAAAGGACCGGTACGACTATCTCCGAATAATTCTGTTCTTCAACCTGTAGAGCTTGCAACGCTCTGTATTTCGACTCAACAAAGTCGTACAGATTTCGCAGCCTCACCGTGTCACCGTCGTTGAACACTGGTTGCGTGTTTAAAAGTTCGTTTACCAAGGTTCTTTGAATCGCAATCTTTTTACCAAACCGCTTTTTCAACAGCTCTACAGCAGCTGCATAGTTCGCGGCCATCAAGGAGAATCCCGCAATCGCAGATCTCGCCGGTTCCTGGAGTAATCCCCTTAGGTACGAGAACTTGTCCACATCAGAAAGGCCTTCGTTGCGATGGATCGCACTCTCATAACAGTCCTAGAACTCCTGCCAATGTTCTAGTCTTCCACTGAACTTTCGTACCTCTAGGTTTGGAAGCTTTACTCGGGCGGTTTCTTGGTCGGTCGTCGCTGTGCTTGGCTGATTTTGCACCCCGTTCTGGTTTGAGGCTGGAGGCGAACTCACCACTTGGCTTGTGTTTGCTTCAGGCTGCGACATGTTCGGCACAGCTGTTAGTTTTTCGTCGATCGCCACCAATCTTTGGGTCACTTATGCCTTTAGGCTCCCCGCTCTCGTAATCTCATCCGTGACCTCGTCTTCGGTGGAATCTTCGTTTGCGACGAGGTCGGCCAAAATATGCTTTTCTAGAGGCAAGATCTTCTCTAGCTGTTGTTCCAAAGTCACCTTCCATTTTATCAGTTCAGCCCTTGCAGCGTCTTTTCCTAAACAGGCGTCGACGTCTGGAAGGGCGCTGGCCAGAAATCCTCTGTGCCCTGCTCTCACTTTTTTACTAGACTTTTCGACTTAATCCGGCTCGAAGGACCAGGTGTCGCGGAATTTTGTTCCGCTCGCTGGTTCAACTGAGGACTGTATCTATCACACTTTCTACGTTCTATTTTAACACGTAGTTTATTCTTCTACCTCTCAAGGGTTCTACTATCGATCTGATTACAGTGTACGTGTACTTCGGTTTTTCTGCTGTCTTACACAATACATGCACAGCTTATAGTAATATAACTATCGTACGATATATCAAGCCTAATTCACATGATCCCTTCCTTATTTGGTTCAATTAGCGCGTGCAAAGCACATCAGCTGATGAACTGTGCACTAAGTTCAATTTACTGAGAATTGATGCAATCTATCACGTATTCATTTCACTAATTCCTTTTACAATTAATATTTGACTTATTCTTAATGAGCAACTAACTTATTCCCCGACAAGTTCTGCCCGTATCCGGTTGCTGTAACGATCGATTTATTAAAACCAATAAGGCTAGCAAAATCACCAGTTCTCAAGTCCACCTGAAAATTGGTTTCCAGGGTTATCAACACTTTAAATAGTGATGGAAGAAATTCGATTGTGATAGCTTTCTTTGGACGACTATTTGAATCATGTTCTTGTTGTATATGACCATTTGATTTGAGTTCTCGTTTTACATATGCATTCAATTCTTCATATGAAAAATTGCCATTCGGAAGTGTTACAGTATGCCACGTTCTACCTGCATCATTGTTATAGGAAAGTTTATGATTGTTGAAGCTACTACTCACATTGTACCAACTGTATGACATTGATAATGAGTCAAGAGCGATCACATAGCTTTTGTTTTTATCCAAATTTAATTCTGGATTGAAGCGTATTTTAAAATCGTGGCTTTTCGAATTTACAACACCACCACTTGAGTCAATAAAAATTGGTATCTTCATTTTATATATCACAAATAAAATGTTTTTTTCACATCGACAATTTTTGAACATATGCATCGTATTGTTTCCTTGAAATTTTTTCATTTTTCAACAAGAGGTCGATAATTTCCCAAGACTCATTTCGGAGTTGTATGTTTGTATTACCAGCTAGACGAATTCCTGTTAACAAAGTTAACCTTTCCATCAACTGCTC